AAAAAAAAAAAAAAAAATTACTAGTCTGAAAGATACTTAGAGGCCCCAGAACTTCCAGTGTATGATTGTTGAGCACTAATAATTCTATTCATTCATCCAACCAATGTGTATTGAATGCTTGCCATATGGAAAATAGTCCTCTAGATGCTATGGGAGATGCAAAGACATATGCAATACAATCCTTTCCCTTTGGGAGCTTACAAGTCCAGTAGGGAACAATGAGACATGTATTAATGAGTGTAGCCCAAAGCAATATGAGAGCAGTGACAAATGTAGTACAGATGAAAGGCTCCAGAGGGGGCTTTCAGTTGGTTCTGAGCAGTCTGGTTTTTCACTATGGTATGAGAAGGAGTGTTTCAATACCAAGTAGACCGAGCCATAGCCTACACAGCACCTGAGACCTATTCCTGAACCTGATCATACAGCTGTTCCACCTCCACACAATCAACAGGTATTTCTAGTCGCTTTGTCTTATGTGTTCTATCAGATTTAGCAAGGAGAACTTCCAAAAGAACAGTATTTGTAGTACTCAGGAGAAGATCCAAGAAGCACATCTGTAGGTCATGAGAACAAATTTATACATGAAATGTGAACCACAACACCTGGAAGCTTCTAAAAAATCTACCATCTAGAATAATATGGGGAAAATGCCTAAGCAGTGTTCTCTTATTCCAAAAATTGGAAATAACATTCACAGGACAGTTGGAAGGTAAGTATAAAACCTACAGGACAGAAAAAGAAGAAATGATTGCCATTCACAACCAGCTACAAAACATGCAACAAACTATGATCATGATGAATTTTGAAAAATTCATCCTGAGGCCGTCCTTCTGTCTGGGATGGTCAGAGAGGGCTGTGGGCAAGAGAAAGAGCATTGGATTTAGGGTAGGGGTCAGAAGATTCAAGTCTAAGCCCTGCCACTAATTCACTGGGAAGTTTTAGGCAAATCATTTACACTCATGTGATTTCAGTTTTTTCATCTGCAAAGTGGCCCTTATGGACAGGTTGGTCTCTTGTATTTCTAAAACTCTATGAAAAGCTAATAGGGTTTTGAGTAGTAGAGCTGATGGAGCAGGAATTCTTTCAGATGAAGAAAGCAACATTAAGAAACGAGGAAAATAATGCAAAACCTGAGGACTGAACTTTTCATATATATTTATGAGAGGGAATGGAGGGAGGAGAGGGAAAAAGAAGAGAGAGAAGGGGGGCAGGAAGGAAAGAAGTTAGTTGGTTCAGGAAGTTCTCTAACAACAGATGCCACATTCTGTGCCAGAGAGCCCTGTATTTAATGGCCTTTGATATCTGCAACAGTCTGTTTTAAAACAGAGCTGTTTACTTAGAATACTTTTATTATAAAGATGTTTGTTTTCAAAGGGCTTCCAGCCGTGGTAGCTTTTAGAAGGTCCCTTTGGTATGTGTACATAGTGTCATAACATGTCATTCCTGCCCAGTCAGTTTCATTGACCAGATGGGCCCACTCTGTGGATGAGCTGTATCTTTTTCCTCCTTAATTTTTATGCAGACAATAAATATGTTATGCCTGGAAAGACATTTATTCAGCAGATGCTTATTAAACATCTCCAAAAGGCTAGGCAGTGTGTGAAACACTTCGAAGACAGACCTATGGAATATAGATGAGGTCGCTGTCTTTGTGGAGCTTACAGTTTCATGGAGGGATCCCATATTAAATAAATAATTATATAAAAACTAATGAATTACAATTGTGATAAATGCTTTAAAGGGCAAGTACAGAATGTTATGAGCAAAATCTAGAGTAGTTTAGAGGGGAGGAGTCAGGAAAGTAAGGTCAAATTAAAATTTAAAATATCTTAAGTATTTCCCAATTTGAAATATAGAAAAGTAAGACTATTCAAGCAGTTTGTTGATAATATTCTAGGGGTGTCTCCATTTCAATAGATAGACTTATCCATGAGCCCTTGTGGCGCAGTGGTTAGAGCAATGAACTGCTAACCCAAAGGTCAGTAGTTTGAAACTACCACTGGCTCTGGGGGAGAGAGATGTGGCAGTCTGCTCCTGTAGGAATTTACAGCCTTGGAAACCCTATCGGGTTGCTATGCATCAGAATTGACTCTACGGTAGGGGGTCTAGTTTAGACTTAGCCATAGAGGCATAGGATTTGTAGAAGCTCAATCCTTTCATTTCATATGACTTAGTCAATTGCGCAAAGTGTCAGAGACCGCCAGTTGGAATTAGTAAAAATATATTTGAAGGAACATACTTCTACTTCTTTAAAATATAACTAACTGCTAAGCACAAGTCTACAAGTAGAAGTTTTTGAAACTTGCTTTTATCCATGTGTAATATTATTTGACATGTAAATTATTCTCACTGTTTACAGCCTGAGTGATCTCTCAGTTAGGTTAAACATTGTTCCTGATATCTTGTTCCCACAAGTGATTTCCCTAGCATGCCCTTTTATTGTAGCTAGTTGTCATGGACTGAATTGTGTCCCCAAAAAATATGTTTTCAGTTTGGCTAGGCCATGATTCCCAGTATTGTGTGATTGTCACCATTTTGTCATCCTATGTGATTTCCCTATGTGTTGTAAATCCTACCTCTATGATGTTAATGAGGTGGGATAGGCAGCAGATATGTTAATGAGGCAGGACACAATCTACAGGATTGGATTGTGTCTTGAGCCAATCTCTTTTGAGATATAAAAGAAAGAAGCAAGCAGAGAGACGGGGGACCTCATTCCACCAAGAAAGCAGTGCTGGAAGCAGAGCACGTCCTTTGGACCTGGGGTTCCTGAACAGCAAAGCTCCTAGTCCAGGGGAAGACTGATGAGAAGGACTTTCCTCCAGAGCCCACAGAGAGAGAAAGCCTTCCTCTAGAGCTGATGCCCTGAGTTTGGACTTCTAGCCCACTAGACTGTGAGAGAATAAATTTCTCTTTGTTAAAGCCATCCATTTGTGGTATTTCTGTTATAGCAGCACTAAATGACTAAGACACTAGTGTAATTGTCAGCTTCAGACTAGCAAAATCTAATTCTTTTCAATTTTTACTTTGAAAGATTAGGAATCAATGAATTGTTACAATTCACACCAGAGTTTTGGGAATTAATTAAATTATTGAAACTAAAAGGAGTATTAGGCTTTGGAGAGAAAACCATTCTTGAATAGATATCAGAGCCTAAAACAGTATATACTAAGCCTTGAGTAAACATATGTTTTGTTGAGAAGACAAAAAGTAAAAAGGTATTAATTTAAACTATAAGAAATTTCCATTTTCATAGGTCAAAAACAGTCAAATATTGGTAACTGTATACGGTTCAGCCTAATAACAAAAGACCAAAAAAATGAATCTACACTCCTCAAATGTAGACAGTTGTAGGTATTAAGTTCAAATACATGTATAAGTTTAATTACATAGCTATGCTCCTGAATTTAACAAATAATAAATTCTGGTAGTTGAAGCTAAAAATATTTTTTAAAAGATTTTCAACTTAAATAACTCCTGTTATCCACATTGCATGAGTGTTAATGTAGTAGGGAAATACAGTTGATTCTCATTAATCATGGTAGTTAACGTTCTATAAAGTCACTTCAAAACTGAATTAGTGAATACTGAACCATCATTCTTAGGGGAAATACAAGGTTTGGTTCCTGTGAGACTCTGGTCACAACATTTTTGTCAGCTGATCAATACATATCTTTGTTTTATGTGTATTTCCATTTAAAGACACCTTATTTAATGTAGATTGATTCATTAACATTGAATTCATGGCCAACAGCACTATAACTCATATCTGAACGAAGCTCACCTAACACACATAGTTTCTCTGTAAGGCACATCACAGCTGTCTTGCACTTACGAACACTAGACAGCACTTCGGAGTATGCTTGGGAACATTTTAAACAGCAAAATCACCACCACCAACAAAAACAACCCACAAAAATGCAAAAAACATGGTAAATTGAGTGTGAAAAAGACGCTTGTTTAGTATGAGAGCCAAGAGAAGAAGGCAAAGCATTGCCTTGTTTGGCTAAAAACATCTGCATCAGGTGACTCAAATTTTTTGCCACTCTGTGCATGCCCGCAAGTGACCTCAAAATGGCCAAGAAAGCTCCACAAGTATTGTTTTGAGGTTACAAATAAATTTTAGTGAGTAGGCAGGTTCACAAACAGAATATGCAAATAATAAGGGTCGACTGTACTTATATGATAACCAAAGCTTTAGTGGTATGGAGTGGACTAAGGCATTTTATTTTCAGCCTCCTTCCATGTTGACCAGGGGATTATTTCCTAGTCCTTAACACTCCCTCCCAGTCTTTAGTCCCAATGCTGACAATTTCTAAGATTATTTTAGAAAACTCAGGGAAAAATAGGGGAATAATTATGAAGTTGAGCAAAGTGCCAGGTGCTTTGCTAGACAGCTTATATAATATTGCATTTAATTCTCACGATAACCCTATGAGCCAAATATTACTTCCATTTTCTAGTTGAAGAAATTGAGGCCTGTAGAGATTAAATAATTTGCCCAACGTCTTAAGTGGTAGAGCTAGAATTGAAACACTCTTTTTTTCACTATATACCATGCTGTTCATCTTATTGTTGAGTTGTTTATATCCTATACAATTTAAGTTCCTTATTATAATAAATTAACACAGGAATAAGACAGTGAATTGCTATTGTTTGTCTTAAAAAAAAATGGTAATATGGTAAAACGCATTGAATCTTTTTCATTCTTTTAAGGATGAACGTGAAGCCAGAGAAAACGTGAAAAGAGAGCAAGATGAAGCCTATCGTCTTTCACTGGAGGCCGACAGAGCAAAAGTAGGTTTTATTGGGGCCTTCTGGGATAAAGCACTCAATCCCAGATAGTCTTTCGTTGTTTAAGTGCCATCCCCTTGTATCAGTTTGATCCCCAAGAATACTGGGTTTGCAATGGAGAAAGCTAGATTCAGTTATCAGAAAGAATATGACTCTTAAAGCATGGTTCATTTTGCCAAGATAGTTTGTTGAGAATCATGAAAAATGAAAACCAAAAAAATGAATCTAGTATCTATTTTATGTTTTTTAATTGGTCTATGGTAGAACTCAGAAATTTTTAGTTTTTTATTTTAATTTAAATTCTCAGGTGATTCTAATGTTGAGTAACGGTTGAGAATAACTGATTTATTTACTGTATTTTTACACAAGTAATGCACATGTTGTGCGTTTTTTGTTTGTTTTTTACATAGTGTGCTTATGAAAATACTTCGTGCGGGAGGGCGCGGTTGGCAAAAAAAACTTATACCGTGCATTATTTGCATAAAAATATGGTAATACTTAATGAGCACCTGCTTCTGTCCTGGGCATTGAAGAAGGAGGAGAAAATGAACAAGCCAGAGTTTCTGCCCCAAAGAAAGAATAGATTAAGTCAAGAACACAGATAGCTCTAATATAAGGCAGTGATTCTAAGTATCATAAGCAAAGCACTGAGTTCTGTGAGAGTTCATTGAATGGAAGTTTCAGTGGAAATTTTTTTCCAGCTTTTGTGGAGACCCATGAAGTGGGGAAGGTTTCATAGACGAGGTGGTATGTTTGAACTGGACAGAGAAAGAGGGCTAGGAGGAAAGAGGAAATAATGTACGCTAGGGGCAAGGAACTAGACAGTGTGGGGCATGATAGAGGCTCATGTGAACAGAGCTTGAGATTTGGGTGCAGGAGAGGTAGCAGAAGAGGCCAGAAACGAAGACCAGAGAAAGGTCATGAAGGATTTTGAATGTCACGTGCTACCCAGAACCATCAAAGCTGTTTGAATAGGAACCCGAAATGATCAAAGAGCAATGCTTTGTTCTTGCCTTCATTTCTGTTCTTGTTTCAGAAAGAGATACTTCCATCACCAAAATGTAGCTCTGGTCCATGCTAGAAATGAGCCCTTTGTATGTAACCAGCTTCCTTTCTATTTTATCAACAGAGGGAAGCTCATGAGAGAGAGATGGCCGAGCAGTTTCGTTTGGAGCAGATTCGTAAAGAGCAAGAAGAGGAACGTGAGGTGGGCATAATTTTTAGAAAAATTATTCAAAAGCTGGGTTGTATTTCCACTGCATTTGATATTGAAGCTGTTAGTATTTCTTGCAAATTATTTCTTTCCACTTTTCCCTGATTTATTAATATGGAAGACCTAACCTTTCCTTAAAATAATCAGTTCTAATCTGTTGTATGGAACTCTTAGAAAACCTGACCTTACTAGAGTCAAGGTTTTCTATTCTTTTCAATTCTTTTCCCCTTTTATTGCCTGATAAATGCTTTCCATCCTTCCTAGGTATTGTCTCACCCCAAGAATTTAAAACTCTATTTTCTGTCCCTGTGATGTAATTTTGTGTCAACTTGGCTAGGCTATAGTACCCAGTTATTTAATCAAATACTAATCTGGATGTTGCTGTGAAGGTATTTTGTAGATGTAGTTAACATCTACAATTAGTAAACTTTAAGTAAAGGAGACTACCTTTGATGGTGTGAATGCACCTCATACAATCAGTTGAAGGCCTTAAGAGCAAAAATTGAGGTTTCCCAGAGAAGAAATTCTGCCTTAGGACTACAATGTCAACTCTTGCTGAGTTTCCAGCCTACTGGCCTGCCCTACATATTTCAGACTGCCAGTCCCCACAATTACATGAACCAGTTCCTTAAAATAAATTACAGACATACATACATACTTATATTTCTATCCTGTTGATTCTGTTTCTCTGGAGAACCCTGACTGACACAGCTCCTAGATATAGGAAATCCATTTAGCTTGCTAATTTTTTTCCCCTGTGTTCATGTCATGTCCATACCGATATAATTTTCATTCACTCATTTTGCAAGCATTTTTTAAAATACTTAACTATGTGCCCAAATCTGTTAGGGGCTAGGGATGCAGACATGGCTCCTGCCCTCCAGGAATTCATAGTCTTATAAAAATAGAATTTCAATACCATATGTAAAAGTTATTATAGAGGTTTGCCTAAGGTGCAAAGAAACAGAGAAAAAATACAACTGACTGCCCTTTTAGAACTTTTTTCAAAGGACTTTTAGAACTTTTTTCTAGATAAAAGGTTAATAGCAAGATTAGCTTATAAAAAGAGGAAGCCATTTAGCAAGTAATAGAAAGTCCGGGAGGGCCCTTGCTTGGGCCAAGTAAAACTCCATCAGTCATCATTCTTGATCACTTATGCAACAAATGTATTTTGAAGAAGACACTGTCCTGAGCACTGCAGGGGAAACAAAGGATAACAAAATGTTTTCTGCCTATAAGAAGAGAGATTACATCTTGTAGGGAAGATACAACTTGTATACAAGTAACAGCAGATCAAAGAAGAGTGTGCTAAATGACATATGAGAAGTAAAAGCAAAATACTTAGGAAGTTCAGAAGCAAAAGAAAAATCTTTTACAGCTTTGAGAATCAGACAACACTATGGAAGAAGTGATATTTGAGCCAGGTCTTGAAAGATGGATAAAATTTCATTGTTTGGATATCAAAGTTTATTCATGTTCAAACACTTATTGAGTGCCTATCCTTTTAGGTATTTCAAGAAGTGTAGTTTAAAAACTTAGGACTCTCGCACTTTTTACTCTTTCACATGGTCTCTCTTAATAGTATATCTTCAGCCATACTGGCTGGCTAAATGTCAAAGGTACAAAATTAACTGCATGTTCTAGATCCAGTGCATGGCAGCATGTGTAATTTCTTCTGATTATTTACCTAATTTACCCTGGGGTAAAATTCTGTTTTCCAAATGTAGACAATAGCCTGTCGTCCTAGGAAGACTCCATAAACACCCTTTATCATAACTCAGTATATATGTTCCAGTTGTAAACATATGGGTGGACCCGGATGGGGGAGGAACACAAGTCACGTTTTACAACTAGTCATTAACTGCACTTATCCCTTGATATGATTCTATAAAAAATGAGTTTGGATAATGCTGCATACTCTATCTCTCCTTTTGGAAAGTCAAAGAGTCTTATAAATCCCACCATTAGCAAACAGTTTATCTTAACTTAATTTAGAGTTACCCAAATTTATTTGACCCTATTTTCATGGAGCACCAGTTAACATATTTCAGCACACTAGTGTATCATAGAACACTCTTTGAGCAAAGCTGGTAGTGTGTAACCTCTAAAGAAACTGACACCAACAGAGATTATACAGTTTGCCTCTGGTCACCAAACTGGTTGGACACATAATCTAGACCGCAGGCCAGGTCACCTGACTTTCCACAGTAACACTGCTTCCCCTTCTAACTGGAAATCCTAAACACATATAATTACACTGAGAAACAAGAGTGGTTTTATTATTTTGATTTGTCTCCTTTATTTCAAAATCTTTTCAAAAAATGAAGTATTGAAGAGTCAAATCACCTTGGTTACAGGGAAATTCCTTAGTGATTGGCCTTATTTTGCTGTGTGGTAATTGTTGGAGTGAAATAAGTAAAGTCTAGGATGACACATTGATCTGCTCCGTTGCAGTGATAAAGAGAATGATAATGAGATTTTTCTGAAGGAAAAATAGAGAAATAATGACAAAGATCTTCCCTGTTTTATTAATTTTTACATTTCTAATTTTTTCTAATTTGTTGAGCATATAGGTTAAATAAGTAAGGTGAAAGAATGTAACCCTGCCACATGCCTTTTCCAGTTTTGAACCACACAGTATCCCCTTGTTCTGTTCGTATCAACTGTCTCTTGATCACAATTAAGTGTTCTGGAATTCTTACTCTATGTAATGTTATCCGTAATTTGTTATGATCTACACAGGCAAAAGCTTTCATGTACTTAACAAAACACAGGTAAACATCTTTCTAGTATTCTCTGCTCTCAGCCAAGATCCATCTGACATTAGTAATGGTGTCCCTCATTCAACATCCTTTTCTGAATCCAGCTTGAACTTTCGGCAGTTCCCTGTTGATGTACGGCCGCAGTCATTTTTGAATTATCTTTAGCAAAATTTTGCTAGCATATGATATTATTTATATTATTTGATAATTTCTGCATTCCATTAGATCACCTTTCTTTTGTTTTTGTTTTGTTTTTTAATTTTATTGTGCTTTAAGTGAAAGTTTACAATTCAATTTAGTCTCTCATACAAAAATTTATACATACATTGTTATGTGACCCTAATCACTGTCCCTATACTGTGACAGCATATTCCTCCTTTCCACCCCTGATATACTGTGTCCATTCAGCCAGCTCCTGACCCTCTCTGCCTTCTCATCTGACCTCCGGACAGGAGCTTCCCATTTAGTCTCATGTATCTACTTGAGCTAAGAAGCACACTCTTCCCAAGTATCATTTTATGTCCCACAGTCCAGTCTAATCTTTGACTGAAGAGTTGGCTTCGGGAATGGTTTTAGTGCTGGGTGGACAGAGAGTCTGCGGCCCATACTCTCTGGGGTTCCTCCAGTCTCAGCCCATTAAGTGTGGTCTTTTCACTAGAATTTGAGTTCTGCACCCCACTTTTCTCCTGCTCTAACAGGGACTCTCTGTTGTGTTCCCCGTCAGGGCGGTCATTGGTGGTAGCTGGGCACCATCTAGTTCTTCTGGTCTCAGGCTGTTGCAATCTCTGGTTTATGTGGCCCTTTCTGTCTCTTGGGCTAATACTTCCCTTGTGACTTTGGTGTTCTTCATTCTCCTCTATTCCAGGTGGTTGGGACCAATTGATGCATTTTAGATGGCTGGTCACTAGCTTTTAAGACCCTAGACGCCACTCACCAAAGTAGAATGCAGAACATTTTCTTGATAAACTTTGTTATGCTAATTGACCTAAATGTCCCCTGAAAGCATGGTCCCCAGACCTCCGCCCTTGCTACTCTGTCCCTCAAAGTATTTGGTTGTATTCAGGATACTTCTTAGCTTTGGTTTAGTCTAGTTGTAGATCACCTTTCTTTTGAATGGGCATGAATATGGATCTCTTCCAGTCAGTGGGCGAGGTAGCTGTCTTCCAAATTTATTTACATAGACGAATAAGCACTTCCAGCGTTGCCGCCATTTGTTGAAGTGTCTCCTGGAGCCTCGTTTTTCGTCAGTGCGTTCAGTGCAGTTTGAACTTCTTCCTTCAGTGTCAGCGTCTTGATCACGTGGTACCTCCTGAAATGTTTGAAAGTCAACCAATTCTTTTTGGTACAGAGACTGTATATATTCCTTTCATCTTCTTTTGATGCTTTATGCATCAATTTTTTACCCGTAGAATCCTTCAGTATTGCAGCTCAAGGCTTGAACTTTCTCTTCCGTTCTTTCAGCTTGAGAAATGCCGATCATGTTTGATCAGCCCATCGTACTGTGGTGGCTTGCATGTTGCTATGATACCAGAAGCTGTGCCACCAGTATTTCACATACCAGCAGGGTCACCCGTGGTGGACAGATTTCAGCGGAGCTTCCAGACTAAAACAGACTAGAAAGAAAGGTCTGGCAATCTACTTCTAAAAATTAGCCAGTGGAAACCCTATGGATCACAACAGAATATTGCCTAATATAAGCTGAAAAATGAGTCCTTCAGGTTGGAAGACACTAGGGAAGAGCTGCCTTCTCAAAGTAGAGTCGACCTTAATGATGTGGATAGAGTAAAGCCTTCAAGACCTTCATTTGTTGATGTGGCGTGGCTCAAAATGAGAAGTAACAGCAGCTAATATTTACTAGTAATTGGAATATGTTGTTGTTGTTAGGTGCCGTCGAGTCAGTTCTGACTCATAGTGACCCTATGTACAACAGAACGAAACACTGCCCAATCCTGCACCATCCTCACAGTTGTTGCTATGCTTGAGCCCATTGTTGCAGCCACTGTGTCAGTCCATCTCGTTGAGGGTCTTCTTCTTTTTTGCTGACCCACTACTTGACCAAGCATGATGTCCTTCTCCAGGGATTGATCCTCCTGATAACATGTCCAAATTATGTGAGACGTAGTCTTGGCCATCCTTGCTTCTAAGGAGCATTCTGGTTGTACTTCTTCCAAAACAGATTTGTTCTTTTGTTTGTTCTTTTGGCAGTCCATGGTATATTCAATATTCTTCGCG